AGCTGTAAAAAAAAAGGTATCACTTACGAAAATACGACAATGACAACAGAAAAACACTGTTTTGAGAAAATCGCGTTCAAAGTTCTCGCGCCCGCTTATCAGTCACGTGAGCGCATCGTCTCTCAGAGGCCATTTCTGCGGAACGATTAGGAATTTGACTCTGAAATTTTGTGGAAATATTTCTGAATATATTTCTAATCGAATTACATAAGTTTCAAAAAACCGATTTGACCCTCTTAACCAGTTTCCCCCCTTAAAGAAACTAAAGGCCTGGTTTGTTTGTATGGATTGAATATTTTGTTATACAACAAAGGAAAATGGTAGTAGAAGTGACAGCTGTTTCGGAGATCAGCATATCTCCTCATCAGACTTCTTATGACAGATATGACACCAACGGATCCTGACTTAACAGGCGAGTTCTGTACTACAGCGCCAACATCAGCCATGTAATCTGTTGTTGTATTATTTATTATTAACCAACAACTATTAAGTGAGCTAATTTAGCCGCTATTTTCTTAATAGCTTGGTTAGTGAGTTGTTTTGGAACCCTCTATACTTTCTGGCGTTAATTAATTATTCATAATTGTTTTTTCCAATTTTTTTTTTGTTGTACAACAAAATATGCAATTCATACGAACAAATCAGATCTTTAGTTTACTTAATACTTACCACAAAAATTAATATAGCATAGCATAGCCCCAAAAACAATTATGAATTATTATATTATATTATTTTAGTTTTGTATGATAAGTACAAAGTTTTACTAACTCTTCACCAATGCGGATTGTATTCGAAACTCAAAAGTATTTTCGAATGTATATAGAGTCAATTAATACACAAACTAATCCATGGTGCACCTACAGTGGTTATGTCACCCACTGTAGTTTATGAATTCATTTCAAAACTGGTTTCATGTATGTACTCCATGAATTACTCGGATGTTATGCAGAGATGGAACATTCTGTTCAACCCTAGGTACAAGGATTTCTGCAATTAACGCGAATACTCTATACATTTGTGAAATATATGAATACACTATAAACTACACTATAAAATAGTCCAAAGTCAACGATAACTCATAAAAAAAGTATTGTTCAATTAACATTGCGATGTTATAGGGCTGGACCATACCTCTATGCATGACACCGGAGTAATCCATAAATTAAGTACATGAACCTAGTTTTGAAACTAATCCAAAAATTACTCCAGGTAGTACTTACTGTGGGTTGCATTATGAAATACATAGGAGAAACTTCAATCAGACATTAATTTTTAGTTTCGATTATAATTCGCTGTGGTCAAAACATTTATACTTATATATGTTTTTAGAAACCAACAAAATATTTATAATCTAAACTTAACTTCATTGACAATAAAAATATGTATAATATATTTAAGTTTAGGCATTTGTTCTATTTGCAATGGAAAATAATTATACACATATGTACACTGAATCAATTTCCTCCTTTTTTTGTAAACGAGTAAAATCTTATTGCGCACCTTCGTTCATTTTCGTTTAGTAATTGGGATCGTTAAAACACGACCAGGGTGGTTGCAAGACGCAATGGTTGACGAAAGATAATACCTATTGGATTACTACAAAATTTTTACACCGATCTCTTTCACAACAACAAATGCATATACCAATGCGCCCTGAAAAGGACCGTCTGACCATCAGTTATGACTGAAACGTCCGTAATTACAGGAGGTAAGTTTAATCTATTTAAAATGCTTTCTTTTACTTTCATACAGTATTCTTCGATCAAAAATTCGCGTTGGATGAAAAAATAAAAAATTATAAAAAAAAGCCCAAAAATACTCAATTAAATATTTAGAAGATATTTTGAAAGCTCTAAATTAAGACCCCGAATAACTTGATACTTTTAGTTTACTGGGTTGGTGTTATGCTGCAACTACCCGCCTTACATACCTTCCATTCATAGCAACCTAACTTATGAGAGCGCCCATGCCATTACTGACGGTTGTCCTGCAGAAAATACTCGTGTATATTCTATTACCGCCTGGTGTTTTGGCTGTGCGGTATGTAAGATGGGTAGTTGCAGTATTTAGATTTGATACTACTCCGAAACGGCTCAACCGATTTTAATAACATCTTATGTGCATATTCAGTAGGTCTGGGGGCCGGGGTAGCCGAGTGGTTAGCATTGCGTACCGCCATTCGGAAAGCTCGGATTCACATTCCCATGCGACCAACGTCTAAAAGTTATAGAAAATAAATTTAAATGAAAAATTAAATTAGTAAATTAAAAATTAAGGAAAATATTTTTTTATTTTTTTTTTATTTATATGACGTGACATTACAAAATACTTATAACCCTAAATGTTCACTCCTTTTTCACCAACCGCTATTTTTTTCCAACAAATTTCTTTCTTAGTATTTGGTCAACATTCTTTTATACCAAGCATAGATCGTGCGGCTACGGGTTCTCAGTTATTCTTAAGTGCCCTGGACACGATCAAATAAACCCATCAAATCCTTATGTGCATTCGTGTCGTCGGCTGCTGTCGGCTACACGTACGCTACACAGATTTTTTTTTCGGCTCTGCTTGATAAAAATCGAAAATTTTTGATATTTGAATTTGACGAAATATAATTTGATCATCTCCATTTATGCTTGACAAAAACAAGATCATTTGTGTTGTGCTGTTTGATCGCAAATTATGGGAAATGCACAGGCATTTGATCATGTACAATATGTATTTTATGTGATAAATATTATCATATTTATTTATGCATACATATCTTCTGACCCTTTTAAAAAATATGTTTGCTTCGAAGGCAAATTTTTAATTTTACTATTAAATAAATATTATTTTCCAATAAAACTAAGGACATTAGAGGAAATCGTTTTCCGAAGACCATACGAGGTGCGAGCTATATGAGTACAAATTTAAAATTATGATTGAAGTGTTTATTTGATTAAAATAATTGACCGTCCCCAGAGTCCTTTATACGTTCAAGCATAGACCTGATTGCGACGTAGGTTTCATTAGCGAGGAATTTATTAAAAAAAATTATTATTGGGTATTATATTACGCTTGATAAAGGCTTTTTGTCATTATTTGCAATATCATGATAATAAAAATTCTGCAAAATACAGAAAGACACAACAGCGTGTGGCAGGGTCTTCTAGTATAAATCTAAAATCAAAACGCGGAATAAAAAAAGACATTTAAAACAATGCACTTAAATGCCATGATCTTATCGACCAGTGTAAACAACTTTAAGTATTTATATATTTCTCTATAATAGTTTTATTCTCTTTCACCCAACTAACAAAAGAATCTTGTATTGCTTATCGTATAACGTGGAAGGCAACAACACTGAACAGGCAGTTCTAAATAAGTGAAGACAAAAACTATTCTATTTTAGCCAAGAAAGTAGAAGATAATTGATATATTGTAGAATATATTAAGTCACTTGAAAATCTCTTTCGTTTCCAACATAAAAATTCGCTTAATGTAAAGAAAAAATTCTTTGCTAATTATTGAAAACATGTACTTAAAACAAAATAAATATCAATCGAGTTAAGGGGCTTTACTTTGGATTCAATCAATAAAATGCAGAAAACATATGTGTCTGAAAGATAAAGAAACTTTGTTTAATTACAAATACATGGCACGAATGAGACTCCAGAGAGCATTTTTTTTTTGAATTTTAAGATGGATAAAACATAAACTGAAGGCTGGAAAATTAAAACTTTCACTGCTATTTCTTTTATTTTTTAACTTAAGAACGCGAAAAAATTATATTATAATTTATATACGGTCAGATAAATGTACTAATAATTTTTTAAAGCTACCTTGGTTCGTTCATTACTAATAAAGCAGAGAAGAAAAATTATGAATAATATTTTATTTGCGTATTTTGTACCACTGACCAGCCAGCCTGTAAAAAAATTAAACATTTTTATGTCTAAGTGATCGAGTACAAGAAAGGAAGGAAACCAGTTGCTATACAACGAAATATTCCTATCGCCTTTTCTCCTACACACTCGCCTACATACATACATATATATGTGCATATTTTCAGCAATATTCCGTGTGCTGAATGTAATATTCTTCAATGAAAAACATATGTACATATGTACATATGTCACAGAGTAAACACTTTGTATTCAACAACACATGCATGTATCCACACATACTTATATGTAAATACAAAAAGGACCTCGCGTTTCAAGGGTCTCCTAAAAACGAACTACCTGCTCTGTACATACTGTATGCCGAGTTCACTTACAAAGGACGCCACATCCCTTACTTGCTTTAGTATCGTCTTTAAATTGATGGTGTTCATTTGTGCTGATTCCGCTGTTGTAGATTATATGTTTTGCTGTTTAGCTAGTGTTATCAGACAAATCTGAAAATAATAAGAATAATAAAAACATTATGCCAAATTCTAAGCCAATTGCTTAACGAAAAACGCTCATAGCAAAAATGCAAAATGTCTTTGAAATAGTGCAGTGATTTTAACAAAACTCTTAAACTAATATAAATTTTGACAAAAAAGATTAAAAACAGACCAAATTTTTTTTGTTTACACGAAGAAAACTCTGCATTTTATGCCAGCTGCTCTTTATCTCAGCCAAGTAAGTAAAAAAAAATTCGAATGCATTTATTGCTAAATAAGACAATTAAATGTTAATTTAAATTTAAAGATTTTTCATTTTTGGTAACATTGGTATATCGACATTTCGGTCAAAAACTAAGAATGAAAAAAATATAAATCATAAAAAGTAATATCTGAATAGATAAGTGGGTATTATATGCTCAATTAGCCATTTTACATACATACACACTTCCCAGCCAGATCATCCGTCTACAAGAGGGACATGGGAAATTTGCCCGGCTGTCAGTGTGCTTGCCTTCTTTTAAGCAAATTTATATATGTTGTCAACAAATTTCATAAGTTATATGTTCGAATATAAACGCTAATCAAAAATAAATGAATAAACTATTATTAAATATTATATAATGTTATAAAAATTAATTATTAATTCAATTTGAATTGATTTTGTAATAAAAGCGTGCATTTTCTGAGTTAATCTAAAATTCGTTCAAAACAAGCCATATTGGCAACCTTGTATAACAGCAAGCGCTCTGTTTTACGGAAAAAAACAAATCACAGCGGGTTTCTGCGGGTCAAGTATAAAAGAAAAACAAAAAAACATCGGCAAGCGGTGGTAACTTCTCATTTTCATATGATATTTTGAGAATTTTGAGATAGCTGAGTCATTATGTTGATGAGTAGTTGTAGCATAAATATAGCCGTCCTTTTCTCATAATTCTGTTAACAAGTCAAAAAATAATAAAATGTTCGACACGTCTTGTGTTTGTATGCGTATCTATAAATTTTGGCGTACTCTTTTATTTTGTTTTTCACTTTTATTTTGTTTTTCACTTCGAACTGATTGTAGCTGTCTTAAAAATTTCGGACGAATAAAAGCCCTAAAATTGTAAATTGAAAAATATTGTAAGCGTATGGCAACTCTTGATATGAGCGAAACGGGTGAGAAAGGGTAGTAGAGTAACTGAAGGCGTACAATACAGTCGGTGAAACTTGTATTTTTGTAATATTGGTTAATTAAATGAATAAAGTGAATTAAATGAATAAATAACTGAATTGTTAGATATAAATTTTGTGTGTGTATCTTCTTATTTCACGGCCAACCTGACATTTCAGAAGTAAAATCTGCCACGCAGACGTATGCTAAGCTTTGTTGTTGGCGTTCTAAGAACTTCGCAAATAAACGAAAACGAATAGAAACATCAAGTAACGAAATAACATCAACGAGTGAAGTATTGTAGTCAAGCAAAAAAAAAAAAGAAACGAAGTTACAGCGAATTCTTATTGTTACGAAATTGAAAGCAAAAATGCAATAAGAAAATCAAAATGCCGGTTGTAAAGATAAATACATTAAAATTAACAGACTTAAAAGAAATTCTAAGCGAAAGAGGGCTTTCTACAGAAGGTTTTAAAAATAAATTGGTGTTACGATTAAGTGAAGCTGTCGGTTCGGACGGTATCGAAATAGCCAACGTAAATTTACAAGCCCAGATAACTGAACTGCGTGATATGTTTAGTTCTGTTTTACAAATGTTGCAAACTAATAATAATGTCAGTGAACTGAACGAGCGTGGGGGGCAAGAGCGTATAAGCACTCCAGCTGACAGTTCGCCTACAATTCATGGACGTAGTAACTATTCCGTGAAGGAAATCGCTGAAACTATTCCGGACTTCGATCCAACAAACGATTCATCTATATCAGTTGAACAGTTCGTAGATCGTGTAAGTAGTGCTATTGAAGCCTATCAATGGGAAGAAAAATGTGGTTTACTAGCGGTGTATAGTCCACTTAAAGGAGCCGCAAAGCTCTGGGTAAATTCCACGGAAAATAAGTATATCGAAATCGTTATGTGAAGAATTCAGTTGTCGGCCAGATGGAGCTGATATATATTGTAAAATGTCTCAAACTGTGCGTAAAATTAACGAGAGTCTACTAGACTATTGTTTTAGAATTGGGGCTTTAGGTAAAAGATTTGGGTTAAGTGAAACGGCTGTAGTGAAGTGCGCAAGAGATGGACTTATGCAGCGTGAACTGCAGACTGCTATTGCAACAAATCGGTACCGGTTCAATGCGCGAGCTACGACAAACAATAATTGATTACTCTAAAAATTTGCCGGTACGTACATTTGAACCAGAAAAAACCAATCGCGAATATTGAAATTAATTCTAGTGAGAAGCTTGACAGTGAGAGGCAAATTATTTGTTATAATTGTCAACAAAAGGGGCACATATCGTCGAAGTGTCCTCAACCACATGCGTTGACTGTCAAAAAAATGCATCCTAAAGGTGTAGCTGAAAATTGTGGAAAGAAAAACCCAATTACGCGTTCTACAAAAAGAAAGTAATCGCTGATATGTTAAAAGAACTACTTGACAATGACATTATATGTAAATCAGAGTCCGAATATGCTAGTCCTATACTTTTGGTTAAAAAGAAAAACGGTGGCGAAGGGTTGCGTGTGGATTTTCGAAGGTTAAATCAACAAATGCGGAAAGAAATATTTCCATCGCCAAATATAGAAGAAGAACTACAGCGTGCTAAAAGTTTTAAATATTTTTCGGTACTAGATCTTAACAGTGGCTACTATCAAATTCCAATCGAGGAAAGCAGCCGAAAGTATACCGCGTTTATTACGACTGAGGGTTTATATGGGTTTAAGCGCATGCCGTTTGGGCTTAAAAATGCCCCGGCCGTTTTTCAACGTCTCATCGTCAAAATTAAAGATAGTGTGAAACCAAACGATATGACCGGTAATTACTGCTTATAATGTCGAGAAAGAACATCAAGTACATACGGACGCAAGTACAATCGGCTTAGCAGGCGCGTTAATGCAAAAAGAAGGTGACTGGAAACCAGTTGCTTATTACAGTCGTGCAACTACAGACAATAAAAATTAATTTCATAGCTACGAGCTTGAAGCTCTAGCTGTGGTTGAATCAATTGAACGGTTGCAAATATTATATTTATGGCAAACGTGTAAAAGTCCTCACAGACTGTAACGCATTAAAACAGTTATGAACAAACGTGAGCTTGTGCATCGTATAGCTAGGTGGTGGCTCCGTGTTCAAGAGTACCACCTTGAAATCGAACATCGTGCTGGTCTGCGAATGGCTCACGTTGACGCACTAAGTCGTGCTCCTGTTGAGGGGACGCGTGAATTAGAAAAGGCTTCTCTACGGATCGACAAAATTCAAGTCAATACCGATGATTGGTTATTCGGTATACAACTCCAGAATAATTCAACCAAAGAATTGGTCAACAAACTACAAACAGGTGATACTGCGGTAAGCAAATATTTTGTTTTGAGTCATGGGCGGGTATATAAGAAAGTAAATGGGAAGAATCTCTGGGTGCTTCCGAAAGCACTGCGCTCGCAAATAGTAAACGGCGCGCACGATAAGGCGAAACATCTGGGTTTTGAAAAAACTATCGAACGAATTAGTGAGCATAAGTGGTTTGTTCGAATGCGTAATTATGTAAAATGTTATATACAATCTTGCATTGATTGTACGTATAATAAGTTACCCGGTGGTAAAAAGGAAGGCGAGCTACATGTAGATGACGTTCAACCCATACCATTCCGAACCGTACACGTAGATCAGCTAGGTCCTTTTCCAAAGACCGCAAAACACAACGAACACATTCTTGTAATCATCGATGCTTTCACTCGATTTATGATTATGCGAGCGGTTAAAAGTACAGCAACGACACACGTAATTGAAGTTTTCGACGAGTTAATTAGTTACAAGGACATGCCCGAAACAATCGTTTCGATCGTGGAACGGCTTTCACATCCAAATAATTATTGCATATTGCATAGATGAGGAGGAATCGGGGACCTCTGCCAATACAAAGCTCTCAGTGCAGTCTGTCATGCACACACCAAGTGGTATGAGCATTTGGAGAGGAATAGGTTCCACAGCGGGCCGATCTGGGGAGTTCTGTAATCAAGCAATTTGTTTAACTAATTAACTAAATCTGTTTATAATCCCAAAATGTTGTCCTTATATCAAATCGCATACAACCCATAAAATCGAATTACCAGATACTTCATCTTAAACATTATACAAATGTTTGCTGTAAAAGTACATCAAAAAAAAGTTCTTTAAAGTATTTTTAAGGCTGAGAATGTTATTCAAAGTGAAAACCAAAAACAGCAAAATCTCGTCGGTAACAGGGCACAAATTATATACAATGATTAAAAAAATTACTCGAACATTTAAGTTATATGACTTCTAACCAAAAAAAAAAAAAACTAGGAATAAACGTTTCGTGTTTGTATCACTGTCAAACTTCTTCAGTTTGATCTATAATTTAATCATGATTCGTCTTACAAACGAACAACATTTGCGAATTAGTGAATTTATTATCAAGATGAGTGCAATGTTAGGAAAGTACAAGATAAGAAAATAAAAAAAAAATCTATTTTGGACTGCAGATCAGCCAGAAACATTGCAAGAGCTACCAATGCATCCAGAAAAAGTCAAAGTTTGGTACGGTTTATGAGCTGGTGGCATCATTGGACCGTACTTCTTCAAAGATGATACAAATCGTAACTGACTATGCGCTACTGTGAGATGAAATCAATATTTTTTTTTGCCCAAAATGCCACACAGTAGGCATAACAATGGAGGCGAGTTCGGTGAACATTTTATTTCACGCTCGGGACCGGTCAATTGGCCGCTTAGATCGTGCGATTTAACGCCTTTGAACTATTTTTTTGTGGGGCTACGTTAATTCTTATGTCTATACAGACAAGTTCACTTCGCATTGACGCATTAAAGGACAGCATTGTTAGTAAGAGTATGCCAAAATTGGACTAAGCGGGTGGACCATTCGAGGCGCGGTCACTGTCAACATTGGCATCGATGCAAATAATGATTTCATATGAGAATGTAGCAAAATGAAAATCCAGTGGTTCTCTATTTAAGATATATTTACATTCTTCAAGCGTATTTGCATATGAGTATATGTTAGGAAGAAACAAAGCATTACGAATATTAAGTCGGCAAGCTTTCACTTTTTCTCACAGCATTCCGTACTTTTGGCTTAGAACCACTATTTCAAAATAGCGTCTTCTCGGTTTCTTGCTTCACGCACATTTAGATGGTTTTCCAAATGAGCCAATAGGTGTTCAATGACGTGATGTCTGGAGATGGAGTAGGTGTTTAAAGCACTTTAAGATAGCAATATACGGACATTAAGTGGATTATGCTTAGGATCGTTGTCTTGATAGTTCTGGCAATTACTAAATCTTTTTTCAAACTTGTGACATATTGTTCATGGTTAACATTAATAAATCACAAATTTCTGAGCCGCCCTCGAGTTTAATTGTCGAACGTAATTTTTTTTTCTAGCAATTCTTCATTCGGCTTTCTTCAAGTACATATATGTATGACTGTCCATATCACCTAAATAAATATGTTGAATTTTCTTTCATCTGCAAATAAAACTTGTTTCCAGAATTCTAAATCCTTATCCCCATGAGATGAAAAACTATTATTTAATTTGTTTATTAAAGGTTTTCTTAAAATTCTAATTGTGTACTTAATAAAAACATAAAAAAAAATATTTAATATGAATTGGTTAAGGTAAATTTTAGCTGGGAGTTGCTCGTTGGTAGGAATGTAACGCGTGTCCGATTTCTTTATTGAGCCACTGTATATACTCGTTATATATATATATATATATTAACTAACTTTACCTCAAGTAAGCTAAAATTTTTTTTTTTTTTCAGATAAAAAGAACAAGAAAATATTTATCTAACAGTATACCTGCTACATATTATGCTAAAAGATATATAAGCAGCGACATCACTATCAACAGCATAAAGATCAGCGGAAAGCACAACGGACGGCCAAAATGTATGAGTACTTATTAAACATATAACTACTTTTTTTTGGCAAAACAGGCAAGTAAAAAATTATAGCTTGAGCAGCAATTCTACGAACAGCGGCGCCAAATCTTTTCAAAAACAATCCTCTTTCGACCTACTCTCAAGGCCACAAGTTTTAATTAAATCACAAGTCAACAGCCGAATAATCTTCTATGCACAGATCATTTACTTTGTAAAAACAACGATTTTTATTAAATCGGCGAAGGACCTGCAACGAGCAATGTAAGAGTTGGAAATAATATAATCGAATGCTATATTCGTGGATCTCGGCTTGGAGTGTGGTTTATATCACACAAACAACATTTTATCGACACCATCATACGTTTCTTCTCATCGTCTAATCGACTTGGTTTACATAAAGACAAGGAAAGTAATGAAAGTGAAAGGAAAAAAAAACAAATAACTTGAAAGGAATTACGATATATAATATAATATATAAGTAATATAGCAATAACGAGTAGTGTCCTGTTATTCTAAATTATTTAAGTATTACAAAAATATTTGTTATTTATTTCTATTTAACCACTGATATTCAGTGAGCCTCAACACTTCTTGGAACAACGTTTTAGCTTTCTCCAAATATCAACATGAGTTTGACGGTATTATTTGAACTGATTGATTTATTAAGTGAAATCTGGTTGGATGCTATAATGCAAGTTAAAAATAGCTTTCCCATCAATTTTAGATTTTGGCTCTGTGCTTGTTAACACATTGGACTTTCCAATCTTTCTTCCAACAAGTGCGCGAAATGATAGATTTTCATTGGCGGAGTAACTTTGCATGCTATGAAGTATTTCATCCTCTGAGAAGTGTTTCTTTTTGTGAGAAGTATTTTTTTTTCTTAAGGCAGCCATACACCACATACAAGTGTTTTCGATCGGTATGTGTGCGGATGAGATTTACTTGTGTATAGGATTGGCGAAAATGTTCGATATTTTGCGATCGGTGTGCACCCATGATTGTTATATGTGGTGCCGTGTGTACACAGAAACACATTTTATTCGTGTCATCGAACAGTAAACATCGCGGAAGAACACGGCAAGCGTGAATATATAGTAAAGTAAGCGAGAAGTGCCAGTTACTCTTGAATGAATGAACGTAAAATGAATTGGTATGTCGTGTGTGGTGAAAAGATTTCATACCAATCGAAAACAATTGTATGTCGTGTATGGAGTAGTAGGGGAATATTATTTCGGCACCTTAAATGGATTAGAGCGTTTATACTTATTACGCCTTTACATGGCAGGAAACTTGTTATCCCACTAATTTTTTTCCTCAGTTTAACGTTACTTTATCACCAGCCATCTAACTTAGTATTTATATAGTCAACACTAATTATTTTTTTTGCACTCCTGCCCTCTGAGAACACTCAACAGAAATTCGGTATATGGTTACTGCAGACGAAACTTTTAGCTTTCGGTTGTTATGCTCTCTATAATGCTAGCGTCATTGTTAGTTGTTTGAGCGATCCATGTTTTCGCTTTTGTATTTAGGTTTCCCCCTATGAGTACCCTTTTGTGTATTGTCTGATGCTGGTGAATAATTTATCAGCTTCGCTTCTGATCTTTGTAGTTGTTGCGTAGAGCGGACAGTATACGTTGATAATTGATATTTCTTTTAAATTAAGTATTGGGTTGATTGATTGTTTGCAATATTTGATGCTAATTTGAAGATTGAGAATTTAATGGAATTTTCAATATGAACTCGCACTGCGCCGGATCCGTCATGACTATTTGCAAAAGTATAGCTTTAGTTTTGAAGGCTTGTTTTTTGGTGCTTTTTAGTCATGTTTCTGATAGAATAGCAATATCTGTATCATTGTTGTGCATAAAAATTTCTAATAGTTCCTTATATCCTTGCTTCCTTATTATAACATTTATATTGTTGCTAATTAATTTTCAATAATCCTGCATTGACTGTCATTTGTTGTAATGTATTTTGCATAACTACTAATGCTTCGTATAAATATTTATTATTATTATCTGTGGTGCCTTGCGTTAAGCAATTGCAATAGTTTGATTTATTTTCATTGTGCAATCGTCTTGTTTTTGTACGAATCTTTCCAAGCTGGTTAGGTAGGCCAAGACATATTTTGATTAAATCACCAAGAAGTCGATGCAACAACGTAACGAAACGCATGAACTTCGAAATGTCTGATCTGCATTCTCGTCGTAGTTTAAGATCTCAAGTCTGTTGCCAAAAATACTGCTACAATTTTGCCTTTTGCTTTCATTGGGGTTAGGTTATCCAAAGTCATGACAAGCTTATGTTAAGAATACAACTAAATGCATGTGTCTCGAAATTCATTAATTTATACTAAATACACAATTTATATTAACCACGGAACACTATTCACATCAAGTAAAGTTAGGTGAGAATCTTTCTGTTTTTATTAATTACGCTTGTACCTGGACATTGAATGCTGACAACAGTATTGTCTTTAGCCAGGTAAAACTCAGGGTCGTTCCTATAAAAACACGCGTCTGCAGCGGAGCTATTGGAGTTTTAGTCACCTCTAACCCGCAGTCGTTGCTTGAATATTTATAAAATAACTCCCCTCCTCCTTTGTATTAAAATGTCGTTGTGTGAATGGAATGTCCAACTAGCACTGCTGATTGACGTTTATGAGTTGATTCGATCTTGTTTCCTCCGTATTGTTGCATTCACCTAAAGATAAATCATGCTTTCATTGGTGAAAAATGAAAGCATTTAGTGACTTCGAAGCAATACTTTACCCTTGATTGTGGAATGGCCATCGCATTGGCGGAAGCTAAAGTTAAGAAACTCCTTCATTTCCTTTGATATTCAACTCCTCTAATCGCCTCATAAATTTGAAGCGATCGTTCTTCAAAAATTCTGACAATTTCGCCCCTTCTATTTTTATTTAATGAAAAAAATTCGTAAGGTCGATTACATAAACTTGGTTTCCTCGAACAAATGATCGATCAATAGATAATGAGGCTAAATTCAAAATCTGTATTGTATAATTATTCATCGAATATACTACTAACTGATTGAGCTATCCACAAGACAGCACACGCTAAATGCATGTGTCTCGAAGTTCATTAATTTATACTAAATGCACAATTTATATTAACCACGGAACACTATTCACATCAGCTAATATTAGGTGAGAATCCTTCTGTTTTTATTAAATACGCCTGTACCTGGACATTGAATGCTGACAACGGTGTTGTCTTTAGCCAGATAAAACTCAGGGTCGTTCATACAAATCCACCCGTCTGCTGCGGTGCTATTGGAGTTTTAGTCACCTCTATCCCCCAGTCGTTGCTTGAATATTTATAAAATAACTCCCCTCCTCCTTTGTATTCAAATGTCGTTGTGTGAATGGAAGTTCAACTAGCCCTGCTGATTGACGTTTATGAGTTGATTCGATCTTGTTTCATTCATTTCATTGGTGAAAAATGAAAGCATTTAGTGACTTCGAAGCAATACTTTACCCTTGATTGTGGAATGGCCATCGCATTGGCGGAAGCTAAAGTTAAGAAACTCCTTCCTTTTCCTTTGATATTGAACTCATCTAATCACCTCATAAATTTGAAGCGATCGTTCTTCAAAAATTCTGACAATTTCGCCCCTTTTATTTTTATTTAATGAAATATGCCAGCGTTTAACGAACAAGCCGCAGCGCCTGTAATAAAGAAAATAAAATGTCTTTATTCTCGAAGTTTCGAAAGTGATCTACTTACGTACCTCGTGGAAAATCCAATTCAATATTTAAGATGACAGCAGTCAAAATATATCCACACATGTCGGCAAACAATGTTGCCTACAAACATTAAAATTTTTGTACGCAAACCTTGACCTCGGTACATAACAAGGTGTTCAGACGCAACTAAAGTGGCGTAAACTTATATCGTTGTATGAAGTTAAGACAGCTCAAATACATGCATTTGCTTAATTATATAAATTATCTTTTCTACTCAATAATTAAAACATTTTCATTCTGCGACTGAACTGCCAGTGGTGTGTGTAGCTCACATCACTAGAAAGTTCAATATGATCCCATAAGGAAATTTTTTTTTAAGAGAACAATAATAATATTAGGTTTGTTTCTGATGCTTTCAAGTAAGATAAGCATAACCGCACTCAGGCTTATTACAATCTGTTTTCAAAAGAATATCGCATCACATTAGTGCACTTGTTGACAACTAGAACATAACACTAAGAAGTTACGTTAAATGCTCTCGAGAACGAACATTCGATTCAGGGCTTTTAGAGATTGCAATCATTACATGCTTTTATTTTACTCTCGATAACATTACTTATTCTCAATATTAGTTTAAAGAAATATATTTTCACTATGCCAAAGTGCATGGTCTTTATTTATAATCTTTAGACTAACTGGTTTACATTAATCTTAGTGCTCTTATACTATTGAGCTGTACTAAACAGTTCTCTGTTTACTAACAGATAAAGCTATTCGTTTTTACTGTTATATTTGGGTTTGCTGTATATGATAGAGCATGTCAAAACAAGTTCTTTTGTTTTGATGTTGTTTACATGCAAACGCTTATCATAGTGTATGAGACCTGAAACGAGGGTAGGTCGTTAACTCATGCCAATTATCGAAGCACGCCAAATAGTCACGTTCTAGTATAGCCTTCACAGAGCGCGGCGATTCACTATTAACACGCATCCGTCCTTAAGAAAAAAAACTTCAATTTCTCCTGCATTGGGCTCAAATTCCCTGCCTTCGTCGTCTGTTTGCAGCAAATCTCTACAATATTCCTCTTCGTTTTCGTCTCCTCTCCACATAATACTCATGTTTTTCTGATTTTTATTGTAGTTTTATAATTTACGGAATACACTGTTATCTATCTCTTTCATACACAAAATTGAAGAATGGAACCACCGAAAACCAGTTTTACTATCCTTAGCAACATCACATCTAGCGTTGTGTCAAATTGAAAAAGACAGATTAATTACATTTCGTGTTGCCACGCCTCCAAGCATCCTAGATAAAAAACTCTTTTTGATTTATAATTTTCGTAAAAATTGGTTCAATGAGCCAAATTTCTATTTAAATAATTTTGCAACTAATGAACGAAAAATCGAAAAATCGATATGAAAAATATGTCAAATTGACCCGAAGGACGGATGCGTGTTAATCTCCTCAATCGACTCAAAACGGCGTCCTCGAAGTGGTCTCGTGAGTTTTTGGAAGAGCCAGAAGTCACATGATGCCAAGTCTGGCGAATGCGGTGGAGTTTTCTGCGAAATGGTCACGAAATATTATATAAGTGCTGTGTGCATTATCGTGATGCAAAAGCCACGAAGGTCGTTTTAGTCGTTTAGTAAACACAAGCGTAACTAAAATGCCAATGATGACATTAACATGATTTCATAGATGTCAATAACAGTGCTACCAGCATTAAAAAAAAAAAGAATTAACCCGAAATATTATACTCGCGAAGCTCAAATCAAAAATTCACCTTTTGCACACATATATAAGAAAAAGCATAAAAAGTGTATATTTTTTATTATGTTTTAATAATAAAATAATGACACATGCTTTATTCATTTAGATACGAAAAAAATCCTTTCTTCTGAATACATTTATAAATATTGGACATATAATTTGATATTTAAGAATAATATTAAAGGCGATATTCAAATATACCGCATTGACTTCAAAAATTTCAATTCACGTTCATTTTAAAAATTCAAAATTCCATCTTCATCTTAAGAGTTAATGCTATACATATGTATGTATATTAATTATAATTTATTTGCTCAATTTTTTTTTTTATATAAAATTCCTCATGAAACGGAAATGCCTTTTTTACTGCTTGCAGTCCGGCTCGAAATTCTTTTCTACATTCTTTTGCAGCTGAAATGAAAATGTTTATATTTGATGAGATCAATATTTAAGAAATATGAAAATTTAAATTACTGGAATTACAATTGCAAGACTCTTTTATATAAGTTATTAAAACAAATTTTTTCTTTTAATATTAAAAAGAGAGGACTATGACCTCTATGTCTTTTATTTAATTTGTTTTAAAATTAAGCACTAGAAGACTATGAATTCTTTCTCTGCGTGCGAGTTTACAACTGAACTTAAAATAACTTAAAATTACCTGAGCCATGATCATCACATTGAGTGCAACTTGATCAAGTGGAGTTGCATTCAATGCAGACAGTGCGTCAGCTTTTTTTCGACGCGAGTGTGAAAAGAAAAAGAAATAAAGGAATGAAATTTGAATTTAGTGCAAAATATTCAACGAAAACATTTTTAGTGTTAACTTATATTCTCAAATATTCAATTTAATCCTTCATTTTCAATTGCAAAGTGTATTGAAATTCTTGAAGTGTAATTCTCATAAGTGAAATTATAAATGTTTAATTTTCCACAGAAAAGTAATATGCTTATAGAGAGCATATTTGTATATATTTGTATAGCTTTTAAAACCTTTTTCCCGAAGTTACCACTTGTGTTGTTTGCTACTCATAACTCCCTAAAATATCCTCTCCAATTTTTTAGGGGCGCATTCAGCAAGTAAATATTTCACTGCATTAAAACGATCCTGCATTGAATTAAGCAGGTATTGGCACTGCTCTGTTGAAATAGAGTCCCATATTTCTTGCAGCTTAATTTTTTGCCCTGGAATAGTTCTTTGAGGTTCATTTCTCAAGCGCCTCTTCATGATTCCCCATATATTTGCAATTGGGCTGAGATCTGGACTATTAGATAGCCAATCCAAGGGCTCAATTCCTTTTTGCTCCAGCCAACTTCGAGTATTTCTACTAGTGTGAGATGACGCTCCATCTTGCTGAAAAGTATATTCACCACCATCTGACAGCATTGGTATTGATGGCAGCAAATTTTCATCCAATATATGCATGTACTTTTCAGCGTTAACAATTCCATCAACAAAATGCAGTTTTCCTACCCCCTTGGCAGACATGCATCCCCACACCATAACGCTTGCAGGGAACTTTACTGTCCTTTTAAGACAATCTTTATGGTACGCTTCTGCCTTTGTACGAATAACTCTTCTCCGCGAATTACCCACACACACATCGAATTTAGATTCATCGCTAAATATGATGGTATTCCATTGCCTTTGAGTCCAAGATATTCTCAGCTTAGTCCATTGCAAACGCTTCTTCTTTTGACGAATTGTGAGCAATGGCTTTTGCTTTGCCTAAAAAGTAATTTACTTATTAGGCTTAAGTTCGCTAAGTAACTTATCAATATACTAACCCTTTAAAACCCAAAGTTAAGGTCTTTTAAATTTTTGCGGGTCCATTCACGTCCTACATTTCGCCCAATTTTTTTGGACCATTCAGCTGCAGCGATTCGCAAAGGCCAATGCTCTTTTGTCGCGATTTGTTATTTTCGACTTTCGCCCTCTTTTGCCGATTTTACAATCCATTTTTTTCCAATATTTTACAATAGAAAATACCGACGACTTATTTAATTGCAATGTTTCAGCAATTTTACCAAATGACTCCCCAGATTTGTGATAATTAATAATTAAATTTCGAATCTCTTCACAAATGGGTTTACCACGTGCAATCGTTGCAAAACTTCAAATAATTTCACGCAATTACATGCAATTACAGTTTTACCTTCTGTTTTGTTTTATTGTGCACATATGATGATTAGCTAGTGATAATATTACACCATTTGTTTTTGTTTTGATCTTCTCGCACTTTTGAGCGAAGCTAGCGCAGCGTATGAAATAATAGTGGTCAAGCGTTTGTAAACAATTATATAATAAATAAATAAGTGGTGTTGTTGTTGTACGTTAAATACCAACAAAAAATTTTTTCTGTCATATAGAGAATAAAATTATCTTTCAGAAAAATATATGTTTGTATGTGTTCTGCATTATCTTCACATATATTGTGTGCTAAACATTGCATATAGTTTTCGGTTTGTACGTGTTATCGTACACTTTGAAGGCTTCAGAAATCTTTTTCTAAAAGGAACCTTAACCGATATGGAGTTGCAGAAATAAAAAATTCAAATCTTCTTTGCTAAGTACTAATTCTGAACTGACTCTGTTTTCTTTATTAGCTTCTTATTTATTCTTAAATTCTATGAAATAAGTTACGCTTATGAATGTATGACTATGTGTATTTGTTTACATACATTCCATGGAATAAGACATGCTCTTATGTATTTATTTGTTTGCTTGCATTCCGGAGTGAGTGATAAATCTATTTTTGTTTATTTTTATTATCGCGAGGAATATATGTACATATGTTAATTATATTCCTCAGCGATTCTGAAATATTTGACGGCTAAAGTTAATAGGATATGTCAATATATGACTATATGCCTAAAAACATTGGCCGTGCGAATTAATAGTGGTCAGGTCTTATATATATATATATATATATATATATATATAAGTTATTATATTTTATATTAAAATTATTTAAAAAAATAATTTTTNACATTTATGTATGGTACATTTTCTTTTTCAAACATTTCTTTTATTACATTTATTTCTTGATTTGATAGTATAAAGGAATTTATTATTCCGGCCTTTGCCCATTGTATAGAATAGTCAATATTTACTAATTCTTCCTTTAACATTCTAATTTTTCTTTCCATAATTTTTGCTAATTCATCTTTTAGTTCGTTGCTTGATTTTACATTATTCAATATCATATTTGTTACACTAGTTAATTTATTTATTTTTTCAATTATTGACTTATTTATTACTACTTGATGATTATTATTTTCTAATACATTATTAATTTTATCGCTAATTATCTGGAAGTCCTCGTGGTCTGGTGAACCAGTTATCCACTTCCAAATAGTTCCTAATGTTTCTATTGCTCTTCTAAGTCTATTAGGTTTCAATTGGGATAATAAGGATTTTACGGTTTCTATTTCGTGGGATAGGAATGGGTAAAGAGAATTCTTTTTTGTTATGTCATTTGTTATTGAGGTGTCCAGTTTTTCTATAATATCGTCGTACTGATCTAAGTTTATTGAATGTATTAGTTTAAAAGTTCCTGTTTGGAGCTTTGCGTTTCCTGTAGCTATAGTCACAATTTTGTTGTTCGTGTAGTCCAGTATTTGTGTTTCTGCATTGCACAAGGCAATTAAATATGTTATCCTGTGAATGTAATGTAGTAATTTTTTTAATTTTTAATGTGGCTTTTATGCACAATTTGACCTGATTTTGTTACTATTATACCTCCTTTGTCTTCCTGTACTAATTCTTTTTTAAATTTGGGTGTAAGTTTGTTGCCTAGTCTTTTATTAATCTTTACATAAACGATGTCGTCAGTATTGTATATGTATGTATGGTAATCTAAGTCTTTTTTCTGTTTGTCACGGATTTTTTTAATGTTGTCTAGTCTGTCTTTTTCTAATTGTGCTGGGTTAGTGGTAACTCTTCGTCCGAAAAAGGCTTCTACGGGTTTTTTATTGATGGTTGAATGAATCGAATTGTTATATTTATGAATGGCTCTGAAAAGTAAATCTTCGAATGAGTTATGGGGTTTTTCGCTTTTTATACAGCGTATTATTTCTGTTAGAGTACTATGGAATCGTTCTATTTGTCCATTTACGGTACTAGTATAGGGCGGTGTTTTGTATATCTGTATTCCATACTGGTTTTCTAGCATGAATGTTATGGGGGCTGCACTAAGAGATTTTTCGTTATCTATTACTATGTTTACAGGTATGCCAAACATTGTGAGAAGTTCCTGCAGGGGTAATTTTATATCTTCTGAAGCTCTGGATTTCACTATCTTTGCCTGAGCATATTTAGAGTATTTGTCTATTGCTGTAAGTATAACCTTGTTATTAGTGTGATACAGATCAATGTGAACGATTTGGCCTGAATATTCTGGGATTGGGGAAGCTTTCAATATTGGTTTTACCGGATGTCTCTGATATTTATTTTCTTGACAAACTTTACATTGGTTTGTGATATTCTTAATTTTCGCGTTCATCTGAGGGAAATAGTATTTTTCAAGTAGTTGAATTTTGTTCTCTATCGCATTCCTGTGTGCTCTGTTATGTTCCTTTATAATTTCCGTTTCTTGTTCTGATTCGTTTGTTAGATCTTTCACTATTTTTCGCGTGTATCTTACTCTATATCTGCTGAAATTTTGTGAGTAGATATTTTGGATTTTTCCTAAGATGTTGTCTTCCGTTTTTATTGCGTTGGTGACTGAGGGATTGAGAAATTTTTTTAAAAGTGTGGTAAGGATTTCTTCAGTGAATTCGGGTTCTATTATAATGTGTCTATGATAGGTTGGGAAAACGATTTGAAATTGGTGTGAAGAGATATCTCCTGTTGAGATTAGAAGTTGACTTTTGAAAGCATTTATTGGTGCATCTGTGTAGGGTATTAGTGTTTGTCCTGAACTCTCGTCACTA